GGTGTGGGGAAAGCAGTAATAAAGGGACACATTACCGAATAGCTTTCACGTTAATCAATTAACTTGATGATCAAGTGGTGGTATTTATTAACAGGCGTGCGAACGAACAAGCATTCTATGTGTACTATACCTCCCACAAGGCGCTATCTCTGTTATCGTTTTGTGTGAGGAAGATAAGAGTTAATATGGACAGGTTAGCGAATACAAGCTCTTTTAGGAATGGGTGGTTCTCTTCCTTACGACCAATTCCTTGGAATTCGCCCTTTTATGTGTCCTGGTAGAGAACGAACCGTTCTCCCCTTAAAAAGGTGTTTGCAAGTAAACAATAGGATGCGCTTGAAGACAGGGTTGTAGAGAAATGCATTTCACTGATGCTTTATATAAGCGCATATGCTGGTCAAATAACACGATATTCAAGTTCCCAGACCGCCCGATTAACCGAGCGCTTTTAATTGTCCGATACTTGGCTTTCAATCCTCTAGAAAAAAGCGCGCGTAACACGAGATTCGCGAAAATGGGCGGTCCTCATGTTGTCGATTGTGTGAAGGCTAAAATAGATGCTCTTAAAAAAGAACAAGACCGTTTAGAGCAGGAGTTAATTACAAGGGCGGATGATATACAGATCGAAATTCGTGCCAAAGAGGCAGTGAGTAAAGACACATTTAGCGCTTTTGCCAATATATAATTCAATTAGCTATTCAACGCCTGTTTAACACTGCTACGTAGTACTTTTTAGCGGCGTTTATATTTACAATATAGCCACGACTTGAACCTGAACGCAAGTATTATTTAATATTATTCATATGTCTCAGTAGTTCAAACCGTTTTCTTCATCGGTACACGTGTATGTACATACTCTAGTGTCATGCCTTGACAACATTTGCCCACAAGTTGTGTGCTATAGTTGCTCCCAAATTACTTTGACCACTTAACAATACGAATTGTCTTTCTGACCTTAATTTAACACGACTTCCTTGCGCAGGAACTGCCGTTTCAATCGACGAGAGCGTACTGGCTTACAAGAGTTACCGTGTATATGCATTCAGGGTGTTATTACCTGTTGTCTGGTATCCTGCTCTTTGTATCGGATTATGTAGAAAGAACGCATTAACCTATTTTTATGTTCATGTTTGGGTTGTCCCGGTAATTACAGTGTCAGCAATATTTAATATAAATAATCAGAACTGTAGTATCTCCGGGTTTTATATTTTGCTAGTCACAGACACTAGTGTCTGCCTACGCATATACAATGACCAATGCTAATATTTTTACGTAACCCAATTAGGCGGAGGCTGAGGTTGCTGCCATGACCCGCCGTATTCGACTTCTTGAGGAGGATTTCGAACAGTCAAGTGGGCGACTAACTGACACCTCTTCCAAGCTAGATGACGCCAGCAAAGCTGCTGAGGAAAGTGAAAGGTACGTCTCCGCGTGTCTGGTTGCATTTTCTTCGCCCTATGGTGTATGCGAACGCACACTGGTAGTTGCATGTATATGCTCTTGCACGCCCTGCATTTGTTTTTCTGGTCTGCGTTCAGTGCACGATATCGTCTGAATAATCAGCTCAGTGCCGACGAACAACAAATAGAAGAGTTAGAAGCGGCAATCCACGCAGCATCTCTGGCGACAGAGGAGGCTCAGCGGAATTACGAAGAGGTACTGCTTGCGTGTTATTGCATTGATTGCGAATTCTCTTCGAATTCTTAACGTTATACCAAACCCATTTAGTTTTCATTTCCTGTTTTTCGAGAAAATATCCTTGCTTAGCAGGAGATTTTCTGCATTATTCATATTATCTTGCATTAATCCTTGTCAGGATGCTTTACCCCCTACCACTGTATGTTTCGGGACCAGCTAACTCATATTTGGCGTAAAATATTGCGTGTAGTTTTTTTTATAAATGCTTCAACTAGAAGCTGGTCACGTTTGGAAAATTCGGTACCAAGAGTGCCGTGAATCTGCTTACCACCGCCCACTTGCGGTTAAGTACCATTCCATTTTCTCAGGGGCGTGTGCTGCATGATTTTATTCTGTACGTGCATTTCTCTACGTTGACAGGAATTGGTCTCATCTCCGACCAAGCGCTCCACCTGTTTTGGGTGCGCCTGCCAAGCTCCATTGATGCATGACTTGCGGACTCATGAGACGTCCTTTGTCTAATACTTAATTCAAATAATTTTCACTGCCACCTAATCATAATACAGAAACCGCAAAACTTTGGAGACCAAGTCCATTTCCGATGATGAGCGCATCGCCCAGCTTGAAGACCAGACAAAGGAGGCCAAGAGCATTGCGGAAGATGCCGAGCGAAAATATGATGAGGTGAGTTTTTCCAAATTCCAAGCTTATCTTTAATCACAAACCAAGCTGTTTTATTTTGTTGCTGAGACTCAACTTTTCACCGTTTTGCCAAAAGTTGGCACACCATCCCTTTCTAGTTTACACGACTTGACTTTTGACTATATTTGGGTCTTGCCACAGTTTCATTACGATCCTTTTTTGTAGGCTGCTCGTCGTCTTGCGATCACTGAAGTGGACCTAGAACGCGCGGAATCTCGTCTTGAGAGTTCCGAAGGGTACAACCCTGCAACCCTGCGCTCCTGCATCCTTAAAATCCGCATCTATTTTCTTTTCATGCTTGTCTGTGAACAGGGATTGCATCATCATAGACACTTATTTTGCATCCCACTGCATGCACCTTTATGTTACTGTTTTCATACCTCCTTTACCATCAATCTGCGCGGGATGCCAGACCGTTCGACGCATTGCAATGGCTGAGAAAACCCTCGAGAGCACCCAGAAGCACGCGGAACTCCTTGAAGCGTAAGTTGCATTTACGAACCAACTTAGTATAGCTGGGCTGTAATAGTTGACGATATAGTGTTCAACACTTAAAGATCAGGCTTGATTGTTCCTCTTCTTCCTCTTCCGGGGATGATGAGCACGAAATTATATCTGGACCCCGAATATTTGCGCATAGTATATTTATATGTATATGTTCCAGGGAAGCCGAACATGCTTGACAATTACCATTTTCTTTGCTCTTTCAGACGCTCCGTTGAACTCGAGGAAAGGCTGAAAGTCATCGCATCTGAGTTAAAGCAAAAGGAAATCACACGGGACAAGGTGACGTTATTGTACCTCTTCCGAATTGGCTCCAGCCAGTCATAATCCTTCAACCTAACTGATACCGGAATGAGAAGGATTCACCGTGACAATTCATTAACCTGTCGCATGCTCATATTTAGGATTCCAGTTTAGTTGGTTCCTGCATGAGCCTGTCCATTAGACATCAGTAGCCATAACTTACTATATTGCCGTGCGTGATTCCCTTTAGAAAAATCGTTGAGCTGGAAGAGGAACT